CTCTCTCTCTCTCTCTCTCTCTCTCTCTCTCTCTCTCTCTCTCTCTCTCTCTCTCTCTCTCTCTCTCTCTCTAACAATCAGGCCTTGTATTCGGGTTAAGGCGGAGGCTTCTAAAACACAGCCTTTACACATCAGCACAACTTCCAGAGCGTCCAGAGACCACTTGCCCGTCCATCCCGCCCAAGCTAGACACCCACCTGCCTAACTCACCTGGGCAAGCTAAAAATTTGACGTAAAAAAAATGTAAAAAAAAAAAGACTAATGGTGGGGCATTTCTGCACCCACTGACATGTGCTTGAATCTGGCCTTGTCTTTGCGTTCTGCAATGCCTCACCGTACGGGGCCTGTAAACAGTGCTAAAAGGGGCTTAAAGGGGGTGATTTTTATTCGTTTTTTCTTTTTCATTTTCAATTTCATAACGAATTTCGGAGTGGCGCCCCTTAGCCAAAACTTGTGTGATTATTAAAATTTATAAAAAAAACAAAAAAAAAACCTTTTTTGATTTGTATTCTGGATAACAAGCTAGGTACATTTTTCAGGTGCAGCGTGATGGCATCTTCCACTACCTCCTCCTCTTCTCCTCCTCCCCTTCTTGTTTTTTTCCTCTTCTTCTTTTCTCCTCCTCCTCGTGCAGCCTGCGCCAATATCGACGCGAACTCCTCTTCCTCTTCATGAATCTTTTCTTCGTCTTCATCTTCGCCCCTGCTATTTCTTCTCCTCGTGCGACCCTGGAAGTTTAAAAGACTCGTAGAGCAAAAAAATCAGCGATAGGGAGAGAGAGAGCTACCCACTAACCAATTCACTCGCCAGACCACTCACCCCTCCGGGCGATCTCGCTGCATCGCCTACACTGCTGCTGCTTCTTCTCCCATCCTCCTCCTCCTCCTCCTCCTCCTCCTCCTCCTCCTCCTCCCCTTCTTCGCCTTCTCCTTGTTTCCCCCCCTCCTTGCACAACCTGTGCCATTATCGAAGGGACCTCGTTGTTGTCGTCCTCCTCCTCCCCCTTCTTCATTCGAGCTAGTCCCAAAACCCCACCCCAACCCCACCCTGCTGCTTCTTCTTCTCCCGTCCTCGTCCTCCTCCCCTTCTGTCTTCTCCTTCTCCACTCCTTGTTTCCACTCCCTCCTTGGACAGCCTGCAGCATTATCAATGTGACCTCGTTGTCGTCCTCGTCCTCCTCTCCTTCTTCCCCCAGGCTAGCCCCAAAACCCACCCCAACCCCCCTCCCCCACCCTCCTAGCACACAAACAAGTCTGGATTCGGGCTGCTCTCGGCCACCCAAACGAGAAGAAAAAACAAATTGACTGTACTTCCGCTCATGCCTCGGTGTGATGTGCAGGTGCTCGTTCCTCAGGCATGAGTTCCCCCAGTGTGATGATGTGTGGGTGCCCAGCGGCGCAACAAAATACTCCTAAATAACAAGGGGTTCTTTTCCACCATTTTCTTAAATTGATCTTTTCCAATTTTTTCCCCATTTTTTTGTGTCGCCCAGGACCTTGACCGGACCTGGCCCAGACCTGGCCCAGCCAGGCCACCTCAGCCAGCCAGATGTCAGAATCCTTCCCTTGCAATCTTATTTCCTTCTTCGACCAGCAGCCTGAAAATCTCTCCATTGCACACTTCTTACCTCTTTGAATCCGCGTCGTCAAAAGCTACGCGGCACAACATTTCCACCCGGGGTGGCTTGTCCTAATCACCCAGTCGATATATCGAAGGGGTATATCGGGTTCATCCGGAGTTTTCGGATAATTAAACCACTGGTAGTACTTTTGCCACGTGGGAAAATAGCAGGCCTCGGGTGGGCCTCCGATCAAGGGGGTATCAGGTTCATCCGGAGTTTTCGGATAATTAAACCACTGGTAGTACCTTTGCCGCGTGGGAAAATAACGGACCGCCTCCGACCTTTTCCGAGGCCGAAACATAACGACGGCCGCCGATCAGATTTATCAATGGCAGCTGTCATCGGGCCCGGCCTCCAAAGTTTTAGGAGTTTGGGAAAACTGCCACTTTTCCCTATTTTCCCAACACTGACGGAGGTACTAGTGGTTTAAGAAAAAAAAAGGATTTGTTTCAAATTTTAATTAATCTTCCGATGTGTCACGAATTGAAGATGACATCCAGCCAGAAGTTCTTTGTATTGTTATAATCTATAACGTAATTTTTTTTACCTTTTTTTTGGAAAAATAGTAAAGTATTACTAAAATACCTTTTTCTTAATTTTAATGACCCGTCAAAACACAGACAGAGAACAAAGCTGATATCTGAGTTTTGCCGCTGGAATGGTTGCCTTGCTGAGATTCCCACGTTCTCCTGAGTTTTTTGTGTGTGTGCGTGCTTGCTGGTCTGCGTTCCTGTCTGAGTGCTTGTCGGTCCGAGTGCGTGTGTGACGCGCAAGGGCACTTGTTTGTTTGACGGCCCTGCAGGGCCGGTACTTCAAGGGTCGCAGGGGAGAAAACACTCGAGCACTGGGGGTAGGCCGCTATATCGTCGGGTAGAGCGCTGGGCTCTACATCATTTGCGGTATGCAAGTTTGGGCGACATACTGCTGGAGCAAGCACTGGACTTCAGAGCAGTGGGAAAGACACTCAAGTAGCAGGTAGGCCGGTACCACTAAAGTAGCGGTGGATGTGTCGGGAACTGGAGGCCAAGCAGAAGAAGACAAAAAGTTGGCATGTTTAGAGGCCAGTAGTTGGTAGGCTAGGTCTAGGAGGGTACCAGTCCAAGTAGCCTGAGTCTAGGACCTGTGCGGACGATATCAGAGCCTACAATGATGTTTCCCTCCAAAAGGGAGGAGGTACTGGTTGCTTGGAGGCCGCACGGCCTGGAAGTCACCGCCCAAGAGGCAGGTAGGCCACTATATCTTCAGGTAGAGCACTGGGCTCTACCTCATTTGCGGTATGCAAGTTCGGGCAACATACTGCTGGAGCAAGCTCTGGACTTCAGAGCGCTGCTAGGAGGAAGAGCGCTGGGCATTACAGCGCTGGGAGGAAGGAGGCCGGGAGCTTCCACCTCGGCTATGGTGGAACGTAATATATTTTTCTATTTTATTTTTTATCCTCAGGTTTGCTATGAATTCAAAGACGATATCCATCCAAAACTTATTTGTATTTTGCACACTGGATGTATGTCATACAGCTCCGTCCAGCCACCATTACCCAGCCAGTAAAACTGGATAATTCAGGGGCACTCGGATGTCAAGCCATGCCACCTCAAAAGCGAACAGAAGAGAAACCCAGCGCAGACACAAGTGAAGCCAATCGTAGCTCTCAAAATCCAAGCTGTGCACATTCGTGCTATTCAGCTTTACGTTGAGAGATAGGAAGTATGATACAAGGGAGGACAAGAGTGACGACCAGAGAAGATGAAAACTAAGGCAAACAATGACAAATGAGAGAGAACACAGACAGAGACAGATTGACATGCGAGCACAGACAGAGACAGATTGACATGCGAACACAAACAGAGACAGATTGACATATGAACACAGACAGAGACAGATTGACATGCAAACACAGACAGAGACAGAGACAGAGACACAGACACAGACACAGACAGAGACAGAGAGACAGAGAGACAGAGAGACACAGAGACACACAGACACACAGACACAGAGACACAGAGACACAGAGAGAGACATAGAGACAGAGAGACAGAGACACAGAGACAAAGAGACACAGAGACAAAGAGACACAGA